GTAATTATTTTTGAATCCAGACCAATTTTATATTTGAAGATTTAGGTAAATCAAATATTTCCATTTATATGATGTCCTTGCAGAATTTTATAATAAACATTCATTAGCTTACTATAAAAGAATTGTAAATAAACTTATTTTAATTAATTAAAGATGGCATACAATGTCAAAAGATCAAATTAAAATGACCTTTGAAAAATATACTGTTCCTGAATATCAAAAAATCCAAACCGTAAATTATCATGATAAAAAGGTAATTTCTACTTTAATACGTTGTTTTTAGAATTTAAAAGAAGATTAATAAATATTTTAAAAGAAATGAAATTTTTATGACCAATAAGAACTATGTCCAAATCGCAGAAAATATATTATCATTTAAGTTTAAGAAATCATATAAGTATCTTGAATCTGATATTGGATCATTTGATAAATCATGGTAAGCCTACATATTCATTTGTTCTTACCTTCACATGCAATTTGAGATTTTTCACAAAAAATTACTCATTGCTTTTATATTATTTATTAGAACACGTGTCAAAAGTCATGATAGGTCATGTCTGTTTATATTGGTAATCAACAAAAATCTGGAATGTTTGCTACTTTTTTAATGAGCTCATTAATTACAATGGCTGTATTCGCTTGTTCTACTAAATTAATCATCTTCTTTGTGATAGCAATTTTTGGTGGTAATGATTCACTAGTTATATTTTGTAAAACAATGAATACTAATTTTGATCTGATAATTTTCTTGAATATTCAAAACAAATTCACTTGGCTGATATTCCAAATATTTCTAAGTATTATCCAATTAACATTAATGGATACTATCTACCATTTCATGATTGCGCTAAGCCCTTTTTAAAATTATCAAGTTTTTTGATGCATCATATTTTGTATTTGATTATGTTATATGTAATATTTCTATTGAAGTATTTAATATCCATTATGGAAGTCATATACGTATCAAGCATCTGATTCCCTTAATAAATTTCTTTCGAAATGATTATAAACACTTTGTTAAATATCCTGGTTTTTAAATAAAATTCATATATTTTAAAGATAAATTCTCTTGTGATGGAAATGTTGTGTAAGCCATGATGATAAGTTTGTTTGCATTAGTTGCACACATTACAATATCCTCCAACTTCTTGTTTTGTTGCTTATTCTTTTCA